TATATATATTGTCAAAGAAGCTATCTCGGTATCCGAAATCGAATGAAGTTACAACGGACTATCTCCGAGAACTTGCAACTTCTAGTCTAAATTGCCATCGGATATTGTAGACAAATGCAAGGAGACCGGGTTGGAGATAGACACAAAGATCAAGTAGATCTGTGAACTCACAGAATCCTCGATGTTCGCAAAAACAATGCACTCAGCTGCATATTGGTAAACCAAGCGTAAAAGTAAAGTACAAGTCGAGAATGATCGGTAATGCCTATCAACTCACACGTACACAAACTATCATGATTTTATATGTATACATAGAAACACACACTAGCATATCCATCTCACAGCCTAATACAAATACATGCGCTAAAAGAAAAACATACGTACCCATGATCAACATCGGCAGTTGACAAGCGAGCATACTGACGCGTTGAGGACTCTGAGACTTCAGTCATAGCTATGGACTCTCGAGCCATGAGGCCGGTATACCTGCTGCCGTAATCCTGAGGTCTGCTGTATTAACTTTGTGTGGTGATGGCCATTGCTTGACACGCAAGACTCAGCACAGCATAGGTTGGTCAGCTATATCCCTATGATTACTTACGTGTAAAAATGTCTGTGTAGTATTTCGTGTAGATATGTACAGAGGCATACATGTAAAATCAAGACTCGCTGGTGTGTAATCAATATGAAATATCCTATATAATGAAGTATAAACAAATTCCGAAAAGATATTGTAGATGTATGTTAGGTAAATAAATAAATACATATAACGCGTGTCCCTTCAAAGAGGCTCTTAAGGATACAGACACAGGGACACAATACAAATACATGAAACACAGAACAAAGCAATACAGATATATAATATAAACACATAACAAGGCCATACAGACACATGGACACAGAATAAGGCCTTCCCGATCCAACCAGATGGGTTGCATACCATATCAGAAGCAGCTAATCAAGTGTGTTAGAGCAGGCAATCTAGCGCAGCTGCAAAGTCGAATGGAGTCCTTCGATGGTTAGTGTATACCTTATGCCTGGCTTTTTTCCCAACAGTAATAGCATTAAATGAGCAACAGTAGGATTGGTAGTGTTGACAACCGCGTCGTGTACTATCTGTGATATCTCCCAAGACTTGGTACTTGTAGACCAAAATTGTTTCTCATGCTATCACTTCCTTCACGTTAAGTATTGGCATTAGGACTTTGATTGGTTTACTTGGTATTCGCATCGTTCTCTCTATGCAATCTGGCTATGACTCGTGATATTCGTTGCAGATGTTACGCTGGTTACGCTGGGATCTCAATTCGAATTGCGTGTTGTTGTACATTAAAGAATTGATCTGCATATCCTCTTCTCGAGATACTATTTAAGCAACGTGTAGCTGCAAGCTAAGAAATTTAGTCTAGACAGTCTTACTTCTACTTGTATAGATATGTGTATATATGGATAATTTCGGTAGAGTACGAAGAGTTTAGAATATGCAATTCTTATATGGGTGAAGCAATATAAAGTTAGTATGCCAAAGGGGCTCTCTTTAAATTCCTTCATGTATACCAAGAGACCTGAAAACATATATACTATTCGTGTGTTTCCAAGTTAACCCCTCGACTAAACACTATTGAGTATATACTTTTGCGGATGCTGTGTATGACGTATTCCCTCTTCGTGTACCTATGCCAGATGTAAATGCACATGATACGAGCGGAGCAACTCTACTGCATCACGCACTTCGCAGAGGTTATCTAGATATTGCGCACTATTTGTGTGAGCACGGGTGCAACATTGAAGCTAGAGACGACAATGGAAGGCATCCACTGCACGAGGTATTTGGAATGCAAACGCCAACTTTAAGTTCTATAAGGGCTAGCAATGCCCGACGTTGATCGTTCTGACCGAGTATTTCTGTCGTTAGAATGTGAGAGACTCAACCACGCGCGTCTCTGGCAATCTCGTACACCTATGATCCATTCCATCCCAGCTCATCCCAGCTCGTTCAGCAGTATTTAGATTGTGTTGATGGGCCGCACACGGCTTACTAAGAGTCATGATTGTGTTTTGGCTTCCATCTTTGAAAACTGGTACATGTGTGTGTATACTGCAATATATATATATATATGTGTGTGTGTGTGTGTGTGTGTGTGTGTGTGTGTGTGTGTGTG